ATAGTCTAATAAACTGGTTTAGTTAATATGATGCATGGTTGATTCAATACTACATAGCATCAACATTATTTAAGTCAAAAATATTATTTAACATAACTGAATCAACCTAAATACCTTAATTTATACCAACAAAACTACGTTTTCATTTTTTTTATTCGGTAGAAATAGCTCTACACTCTAAGAAATGCTGGGTTAAATATAACCCAGCGCTGGGTTAAAAAGGGACAAACCCAGCTATTGGGTTGTTTTGACCCAGCGGTTGGGTTATATTTAACCCAGAACTTTTTAGAGTGTAGTAATTTGCAGGTTACCACTTTTTTTAAATACAGGTATTCAGTTTAAGTCAGTAATATTGTCCAGGACATAAGCAATTTGATGACTGTACATTTATTATATAAAATATATTTAATTATTTGCTTTATTTTATCCAGACAATCTCTTTAGGGCCCATAAATGTCCCTGTGCATTATATCTATGTTCAAACAAACTGAGTTTATGAGCAAAATAAACATGCAGGGTGTCTACGCTTTAATTAGATTCCTCAGTCAATATCTGCTAAGCTCACTGTCTTTTTTACCCATGCTTTAGTATCCCAGAATCCTCAGCTATTGTTAGTAGATCCATCAATTCTAAGGGGCCTTTCTGATCGTATCGGTTGATAGGCTGCCAGCTCTGCACAGGACAGATGGTGCCATTCGACTGTTGACTGACAGGTGTTGCTGTTGATACTCTTCATGACCCTTTCTGTCATGTCTTTAGTCTTTAGACTGAAGCACAACCTTTTATTTGATTTAGTCCAGTCAATTTTGAACTCCTATTGATGTCACTGTTCAAACCTATATTGTCGTTCTCAGCACAAAAGAATCAACATGCTATTTATAAACATGGGCACTGTTGAATATTTCATGGTCCCAACCATTAATTTATACCAACAAAACTACGTTTTCATTTTTTTTATTCGGTAGAAATAGCTCTACACTCTAAGAAATGCTGGGTTAAATATAACCCAGCGCTGGGTTAAAAAGGGACAAACCCAGCTATTGGGTTGTTTTGACCCAGCGGTTGGGTTATATTTAACCCAGCACTTTTTAGAGTGTAGTAATTTGCAGGTTACCACTTTTTTTAAATACAGGTATTCAGTTTAAGTCAGTAATATTGTCCAGGACATAAGCAATTTGATGACTGTACATTTATTATATAAAATATATTTAATTATTTGCTTTATTTTATCCAGACAATCTCTTTAGGGTCCATAAATGTCCCTGTGCATTATATCTATGTTCAAACAAACAGAGTTTATGAGCAAAATAAACATGCAGGGTGTCTACGCTTTAATTAGATTCCTCAGTCAATATCTGCTAAGCCCACTGTCTTTTTTACCCATGCTTTAGTATCCCAGAATCCTCAGCTATTGTTAGTAGATCCATCAATTCTAAAGGGCCTTTCTGATCGTATCGGTTGATAGGCTGCCAGCCCTGCACAGGACAGATGGTGCCATTCGACTGTTGACTGACAGGTGTTGCTGTTGATACTCTTCATGACCCTTTCTGTCATGTCTTTAGTCTTTAGACTGAAGCACAACCTTTTATTTTATTTAGTCCAGTCAATTTTGAACTCCTATTGATCTCACTGTTCAAACCTATATTGTCGTTCTCAGCACAAAAGAATCAACATGCTATTTATAAACATGGGCACTGTTGAATATTTCATGGTCCCAACCACATGCAGTGAGTCTAATCTGTCAATAAGCGTAGATCACACTCATAGCCTGCAGTGAGTGCAGATCTTGTGTGGCCTGAGTGTTCTGATGGAGCGACTCATTTATCACAGAGATGCCCTCTGACCACTGCTATGAGCACAGAATATACTTGGCCCTCTTTAGTGGAGAGTGAGACGTCACTCTATGGATTTATAGCAAGAAGCATTGAAATTTTGTGCATGCAGGAGATATGAATGAGTCATGATGTTTTGATTCATTGATCAGTATTTTTTACTTTTTTTAATTGAATTACAAGTATATAAAAATATGACCACATATACAGTATATATAGTTATAACAATACATTAAAACAAAAGAACAAGCAGGCTGTAATGAAAGATTGTTTAAAAAAAAAAGTATGCAGTTAAAGGGTTAGTTCACCCAAAAATGAAAATTCTCATTAATTACTCACCCTCATGTCTATATAATATACAGATGCATCTCACTAAATTAGAATGTCGTGGAAAAGTTCATTTATTTCAGTAATTCAACTCAAATTGTGAAACTCGTGTATTAAATAATTTCAGTGCGCACAGACTGAAGTAGTTTAAGTCTTTGGTTCTTTTAATTGTGATGATTTTGGCTCACATTTAACAAAAACCCACCAATTCACTATCTCAACAAATTCGAATATGGTGACATGCCAATCAGCTAATCAACTCAAAACACCTGCAAATGGTCTCTCAGTTTGGTTCACTAGGCTACACAATCATGGGGAAGACTGCTGATCTGACAGTTGTCCAGAAGACAATCATTGACACCCTTCACAAGGAGGGTAAGCCACAAACATTCATTGCCAAAGAAGCTGGCTGTTCACAGAGTGCTGTATCCAAGCATGTTAACAGAAAGTATATATATATATATATATATATATATATATATATATGTGTGTGTGTGTGTTTGTTTGTTTGTTTGTTTACAAAAATAAGTAAATACATTGGTTAGGGGAATTAAAAAGTAACAAACATATTATTATTATTCTTTAAAATTTAGTTTTGGCATTTTTTGCCTTTATAGGACAAATCAGACCTGACAGGAAGTGAAGTGGGAGAGAGAGAGAGCGGCGGGATTGGGAAAGGTCCTCAGTCCGGATTTGAACTCGGGATGCCCGTTGCTGTTTATTGGCGCATGGCCTTCAAGTCTTTTGCTAATCAATATATATATATATATATATATATATATATATATATATAATTTACTATAAAATACTAAAAATCATGATTTATATTTATAGCCTACAAATAAATAAATAATGTGCATATGAACTAAACAGGATCCCACAACTGTCCGAGTGTTTAGCCTGAAGAAATGTCACTCCAAAATGAATATTCTGTTATCGTTTACTCAAAAAGGATGCAAAAGCATTACAAAAGTACATAAGTAATAAGAGTCGTCCATATGACTCCAAGACGTTTGAAGCCACACAATAAATGTATGTGAGGAAGTGCATAATGGCGGCCTATTCATTTTCAGGTGTAATATTAATTTAAAAAGAGAAATTTTGAAATGGGAAGTTGCATTTGTTTTATTTTATGTAATTTATATAAATGTACAGTGTTAATACACATTTTAGATAGGCTATATATTATATGCAGCGTTTATGCCAAATGTTTGTCTGATCAGCACAGATGGAGGGTGGGAACAAGGTTGGACGTTCATGCACAACTGTCCGAGTGTTTAGCCTGAAGAAATGTCACTCCAAAATGAATATTCTGTTATCGTTTACTCAAAAAGGATGCAAAAGCATTACAAAAGTACATAAGTAATAAGAGTCGTCCATATGACTCCAAGACGTTTGAAGCCACACAATAAATGTATGTGAGGAAGTGCATAATGGCGGCCTATTCATTTTCAGGTGTAATATTAATTTAAAAAGAGAAATTTTGAAATGGGAAGTTGCATTTGTTTTATTTGATGTAATTTATATAAATGTACAGTGTTAATACACATTTTAGATAGGCTATATATTATATGCAGCGTTTATGCCAAATGTTTGTCTGATCAGCACAGATGGAGGGTGGGAACAAGGTTGGACGTTCATCTGTGTTGATACAGAATTCATATAAAAAGCTTGATCTATTTTTATCTGTCTGTGAATGAGAGAGCGCGTGTCTGTGTGTATATTGAGAGGATGAGTCATTATTTCGACTGATATGTGCTCAAACATAAAACCGCCCTGCACATAATCAAAGAGGCAGGCATCTTGTCACTGTTGCTAGGCAACCTCAGGAGCAATAGCCCAAAACCCCTGTGCAGGCGGGTGGATGCGACTAGATTGAGAAAACCCCCAAATAGCTTTGGAAATAAGACGTGTTATAATTTGTGGCTTGCAATTTCATAGATATTATATTATCAGTAGCCTACAATACAATGAAAGATATGCAAAATTGATGTGTGCCTCAGGCTTTTAGGCAGTTACATAATAAAGGTGGAAAATACGCCAATATGTTTATGAACAACTCACTGTTGCTAGGCAACCTCAGGAGCAATAGCCCAAAACCCCTGTGCAGGCGGGTGGATGCCGACTAGATTGAGAAAACCCCCAAATAGCTTTGGAAATAAGACGTGTTATAATTTGTGGCTTGCAATTTCATAGATCTTATATTATCAGTAGCCTACAATACAATGAAAGATATGCAAAATGGATGTGTGCCTCAGGCTTTTAGGCAGTTACATAATAAAGGTGGAAAATACGCCAATATGTTTATGAACAAATGTAATGGTAATTATATGAGTGATGTTCTTTGTTTGTTAATTTAATTGTATCCATTTGTCTAATTATAATAACATCAATAATACTACTAGCAGTTGGCCTGAAGAAGAGGAAGAAGGTGAATCAGGAATGGAGAATTCCGTCCATCAACATGTGGCTTGTTGAGAGCAAACCCTCAGCATATCAGCAAAGCCATAATGTTTTCCGGCTGAGAGGCAATTGCAGAGTCGTGATTGCTTCAGGGCCTAAAATAAAGAAATAGTGGGCTGTCATTTGTCTCAGCAATCCCCTTCGAAACAATGAGAGTAACTGCAGCGAGGGAATCTCCAGCAGAACTGGGGGAAAATATTTTGGTTTAGTTTTTATTTAGCATAGTGTAAATCATACTTTGTATATCTTGGGACCTGGTGTTATTTGGATAAGAAATTGATGTTTTTTCAGAGTGTGAATTATCAGTCTTAAGGCGATATATTGCGACTAGACCCCCCTCTGCGCTCTTAGTTGGTATGATCCAATTTGTGAAGCGGCAGAGCTCGCTCACATTCAGTGTTTCAACCGCTTATCGATTCTTGCGCGTGCTGGGGAGATTCGGCGTTCAGCTTCGCGCGCTGATGCTGGGGCGTGCTATTGAGCGGCGAACTGTCGGTGTTCATCAACAACAACAACAACATGAATCCTAACACTAAATAAATGGTTACCGGTCACGGGAGTCGGGGAAAGCTACTTTGGTGACGGTCACCGGCGCTTAAAATCCCTAGACGGGGGAAGAGAGAAACGCGACGCGGAGTTGTATGCGTTCTGTTGACAGGTGGACCGATGCCGCCCGTTCAGAGAACTATGTCGGATCTCCGGACCCGAGCTGAAGGTAAGACACGCGGATCTTTGTCGGTCTGTACCTGTTATCTTGAGTTTCGTGACGTGCACAATCTTTCTCGTGCTCGACAACTGTTGCGAGAGCACTTTAAGCAGATTGCGTTGAGCTTCATTGCGTGATTCCAGCTTGCAAATAAGTTGTTTCAACCATTGCTTTCAAAGACTGTGGGCAGGACTTGATATTTATATGTGGGTATTTGTAAAGGTGAGATGCAGAATGATCCCATAGGACATTTGCTCATATAGTTAATTTCATATTAGGACCGTCATCAGCTTTCATTATTTATTCACGTATGGTACGTATTTATTGACTTCTTCCCCCTCCTTGTAAGTGAAAGCTGAAGGTGTGTGTGTGTAGTTATGAAGTGTGTAATTTATTATATTATGTAACTTTTTTTATTATTTTGTGTTTTATTTGGTCATAAGAAGTAGGCCCGGTTTGTAACCAAACACTGCTGTGTTTCCATGTCAAGTTAGTTTTTGGTTATATGAACATAATTGACAAATAAATGTCAGTAGCTCATATGCCTTTAAATAACTACAGGTGGTGGTGGTGGATTGAATTTGGATTCTTCTCAATGTTTCGAGTCTTTTGGGTCCTCAACTAAAAAGATTCTTTCCGGTGATTCGATGCTTTTGATTCTCTCGTGACTCTTTCTGCAGGTTACGAACTGATTTGTATAATGATCTGTATAATAATCTCTGTATAGATCAGTAGATGGAGTTAACGCATGCTTTTGTGTATTGTAATTGAATCACTGAATCATTCACTCAACCGATTCTTTATAAAGAATGTTCACAAGCAACATGTAAAATGTCATGCATACAAATGTACTGAATCTAACTCCAGAATTAGTGTTTATGCATCTCTACAAATGACTAAAACAAATATTTTCCCTCCATTTTGACAAATGTTATTTATATTTTTATGTAGCTATATACGAAATACATCCATTATAAAATTCGCGTTGTATGTAGCTCCGAGTCTCGTTCAGATACAAAACACCGTTCATTCAGGGGCGTGTTCGTTCAGGAGCTCCAACCAATGAAATGTACATTCACAGTTTGCGCTCGAATGCTATTGGTTCGTGTTTTAATCCGCCTTTCAGGCAGGACATTGGTCTCGCACTTCGAAAGGGAAAGACTGAAGTGAACGGAATATGAATCGGCATCAGCAAGTTGCTTGCTCCGATGTGCTTCACCTGCAGTATTTGGGTATGGTGGGGACTTTCTTTCATATATTTGTTTAATTTGTTTTTTGATGTGCATAGATGTGTAAGGGCGTCTGCTCCGAGTTGGATATGGATATTGATCAGACTTGCTCTCTGTCTCTCATGTTTGTCTGTCTGCATCCTGGATAAAATGTCATGCTTCCAGTGACCTTCCTTGTTAAGAATCAGACTGTTTGCATGTATTTGAGTTTGATTTGCAGTCAAAAGGCTGACCAGAAATAGTGTTGACTGACTGAAATATCAGCATTTGAACAATTTTGCTTCCTCGTGCCATTGACTTGTTGATACTGGAGGAAAATTAGGTTGGGAAAGAGTACATTACTCCAATGCAGCCTGCGATGCGTCATAGTCACTATAGTTTGAAGGAGATTAAATAGAGGCCATACATTTGACTTTAATAATTTAAGAGGCTCTAGCAAGGGCCGATTGCACTCTTTTCACAAGCACATGTGAAAATGCAGTCAGTAAGACAGTAACCAGCTCTGTCGGCCCAGAGCCCAGCTCTCAACTTGCTGTTTTTCAGTTGAAAAAGCATCTGGCTGGTTTTAACCTTGGTTTTGGAGCATGCCATGCCTCCTGCTGCCACATTTACCGTGTTTGAAAAGTATCCTGTTCGTCAGTGCAAGCACTTCCCAGCACTGAGCAATCAATAATCCTGCATGTCCGATCAGGCCCATGACCTACACTGTACCAGTTTGAATGAAAGCAAGAAACCTATTTTGAAATGCATTATTTATTGCTGCTTGTGCCGGTTTTACTTTATCCACAGACCTTGGTGTGCGGCACAATGTGTTGTCTTTTTGTAATCACTGCAGTGCATCAGGCTGGCTCGTGGCGGGGCAGGGCGGGACCTTGGCAGAGTGTCAGCCTAATCCACTCGCACCCTGTCTAACAACTCCCAGCTTCACCCTACCACCTACTCCATCTTCAAATCCTCCTCAGTCCCCATGTGTCTCTTTGCTTTGAGTACGTCAGAGCGCTAGCCAGGCCAGGCTGGGGTGGTTGCCAAAGAAGCCTTATCTGTGTGGCGGTTGGTAAACGGAGGTGGCACGGTTCTCAGTTTGGATGCAAATATCACAGTGTGAAGCCCACACTGATGGGAGTGGGCAGGCCTGCTGGAGACCTCAGGGGGGAAAAAAACGTTTTTTTTTTTTTTTTGGCTGGACCTTATCAGATAACTTTATGGTCCAACCCACAACCTAGCCAGTATCTGCAATGCAGCTGTAAACCCCCCCCCCCCCCCTTTTTTTTTCTTCTAGCTATGCAAGGTAGGTTTTTCTTAAAGGGGTCATATGATGCGATTTCAATTTTCCCTTTCTCTTTGGAGTGTTACAAGCTCTTGGTGCATAAAGAAGATCTGTAAAGTTGCAAAGATTAAAGTCTGAAATCTAAAGAGATATTCTTTATAAAAGTTAAGAGTCAACCACACCAACCTAAAACGGCTTGTTCTAACACGCCCCCACATGTCTACGTCACTGTGGGAAGATTTGCATAATGCCGCCCAAATGTTCAGGCAAAGAAAGAAGGCGTAACTTTTATTCTCGCTGTAGTATTGTTGCCGCCGCCACCATGTCGTGAAGGCACTGTGTGATTCGTTGTGAAAGCGAAACTACTTTGTTTGGCCTTCCAAAAGAGAACGATATTCGCTTCGTAATGCCTAGAGCCTAGAGCTGATCCGTGCTGATTGCTGAGGAAATACAACAACTTCGCGCTGTGGATCGCCGGATCGGCTTTCACCGTGGACGAAGCAGAGTCCAGCCCGGGGTCACATGTGGTTGTAGAGGAGAAACAATAATGTGCAGTATGTGGAAAATGTTTTTTTTTTTTTACCTTAAACCGCATAAACACATTTCATTACACCAAATACACAAAATAATGTTATTTTTAGCAACATCATATGACCCCTTTAAAGGTGAAGTATGTAGCTAATTTCTTTGCCTCTATTTAACACCAAATGCTTTTGGCAAAACTATGACTGCTTTCATGGAGAAGTTTCCAGAACAATCCCCTGATCTTCAGTTGATTGAACAAACAGATAGCCCTGGCTGTGACTCGGGCCATTAGTTCAGCTAAAGTTATGTCTTGCTGTTTTAACTAGTGGTACATATATATTAAAATCCTTCTCCGATACTGATGGGCTTATCATTATTTAAATTTTATCACAGGTAAAAGGCCAATTTTTAAACTTAAATGAAAAATGATTAATTTAAAATGCTTAAAGCGGACTAAAAGGCTGCGTGTCCACCAAAGCATTTTTTTCCTGAGGCTGGCGTATTTTTTTTTTTAATTGTTCTAAATGGGAGCGCCGCGTTTTATAAAACGGCAGGAGCGTGCCAAGCACTGAGCGTCTTTTTCGTGCTGTCGACACCGAGAATTGAAGAATGTTCAACTTTGGGTAAAACGCTGCGCTCATCACTGTCACTTTTCAGTCAGCTAACCAATCACAGTGGAGGAGGGGTGGGACTAATAACGACTAATATCACACCCTACTTGTACTGCGGCTGAACAACAAAGGAGAAGTTAATATCGCTTGTCTCCGTGTATTTACGTCTTTACTATATGGAATTACTGGACTACCATAATATTATGAAAAATAATGCTTGTAGAAACATTTCATTCATTATGCATCTGCCATTTACGTCAACAGATATTCCGTATCATAGCAACGACAGCATCTCAACGGGAAAAAAACACTGCGCTCACAACTGTGCGTTTTTAGCAGAGCGCCTGGCATTTTCAGCTCGCTAAAAACGCTTTGGTGGACACGCGGCCTTAGGCAACACAACATTAATATGAACAGTGTGAGACATAGATATTTTGCTACAATTATTTTTGTATTTTAGTGTTTTTGAAGATTTAACTTTTGAATATCCAATACCAGGGGTGTGGACCCGAGACTTGACTCGGACTCGAGTCCCAAATTTAATGACTTGCGACTCGACATAATTAAAGAAGACTTTAGACTCAACTTAGACTTTGACAGCAATGACTCGAGACTTGACATGAGCCCTGTGACTCGTAAAGACTTTATGATCAGATCAGAGTCGTTATTACTCTAGACACGTCCCTGCGTGCTTGCACTTGACTGGCAAAAAGCTAGAGACTGCGTTCAGGGAGCGCTGGATATACAGTATATGCTAGTATAAATTAATGGAGTAATAGCATAACTTACGACAAAAGAACCGAGATAAGAAAAAAAAAAGACACGATTCGTATATAGCTATCTCCGCTCGTGAAAAGTGCTGCCCTGCCCGTTTGATTGCTGCCCAGCAGGGACGCAGACATGAGTTAGGTGCAACATGAGTGATGGATCCGCATCCCGTCACGACCCTCGCGCACTGCCAACTCCATGTGCTGTAATTTTCATTTTTATTTGTAATAAACCCCTCTCTGAGACTTTTTTTTTTTTTTTTCAGATCTCCCCTGTTTTTTTTCAATCAGTTAAATATTTTAATTTTTTGTGCATTTTTTTTTTTTTAAACCTCCATTAAGTTTAAAGTTAATCCATAATCGAGATTTAAATCTGAGTTTACATTTATGGTGCAACTGGATTAAAGTTAATCCTAAATAGGTTATATCCTAACTTAAATCCAGGATCAAAATGATGGGTTAAAATGTAAACCTGCTTATTTTTAAAGGTTTAAAGTTTGGTGCAACAGAATTATTAGATAAACCATGATTTAATTTAGATTTAAAATTAATCAATGCAAACTATTTAGCTATAATTTCATTTGAAAACAAAAATGCACATTAGGCCTAA